CTGGGGAGACATTGCTCTATCAGCAAAGGCTGCTAGCCAGGATATCACCTGTAAAACGATAGTACTTCCAGGTCAGTGTTCTCTGCAGCAACACAACCTGCTGTTCTCAGCCTCCGGTACCTTATCCCCCAGGAACTCAGGTATGAGAAGACCCAATGCAAACGACATCTCTCTACTTTTTGTTCCACCGGAATTAATAACAGCCTCATCAATGGCCCAGAAATTTCATTTCTCTGCGAGCTTCCACCATTCTGCGGGATATATATATATATATATATATATATATACATACATACATATAGGCACATTAGTTATTACTGTGGCAGGATCTGTGAAGAAGCAAGTTAAGGACTCGAAAGCTTGGTTTGACTGTCAGTTCAGGGTGGTGGGGAAGTCAGGTGTCAGGAACTTGAAGCCGCTGATTATCCTATATTCACAGTCAAGAACAGGGACCATGAATGCTGGTGTTCCGGTTCCCTTTTATTCAGTCTGGAGCCTCGGCTCATGCAAAGGCCGTACCCACAGTTGAAGTTTCCACCACAGTTAATCCAGTTCTAGAAACTCTTTCTTGAGTCCTGAGCTTTGTTTCCTTGGTGATTCTAAATCCCATATTGTTACAGTACTAAACATCATAGTAGGTAAATATTGAATTCCCTCAAAGTAAGCAGAGAAAGCAGAATTAATTGAGTAGAGAAGTGTGGCCAAGCTTCGCAGCCTCACATTCTGGTGATGATAGATATGGAAGAAGAGTCAGATGTCCGATTAAATCAGAGATCACATGAGACAACTGGAAGCGGGAGGGGGGAAGCGGGTTAATATTCTTCAGTGCCAAGGCAAAGGGCTCTGGTTCTGTTTACTAAATCTGGAGTTGCATCAGCCCTGAGCATATGCAGGTACAAACTCTCCATTCGGGTAAAAATAAAGGTGTCTAGTTTCTAATTCGAGGAAGAGACATAACACATAGAATGTGCTATGAAGCCAGGCACGATGGTTGCAAGCCTTTAAGACCAGCACTAGGGAGGCAGAGGCAGAGTTTGAGGCCAGATTAGGAGTTCCAGGACAGCCAAGGCTACACAGAGAAGCCCTATCTAGAAGGAAGAAGGAGAAAAGGGCTATTAATCTCAAGCTTATCAAGAAGCTGCTTATGATGGTCAATTTCAGTGATAACTTGTCACAAAGTAGGATCACCTGAGAAGGGAGCCTCAATTTAGGAATTGCCCTGATTCCTTTAACCAACATAAGTGGGTCCCTCCCACTGTGGGTGTTGCCATCCCTAGGCAAGTAGGCCTGGGATGCACAATAATGCAGGCTGAGCAAGTAAGAGGAAGCAAGCTAGCAAGCAGCATTCACTCCCGGATGGTCTCTGCCTCCAGCTTCTGCCCTGGCAGCCCCTTTATCATGGATTGTGATGTAGAAGTGTGCACCAGATAACTCCTTTCCCCCTCTAAGTTGCTGCTGGCCAGGGTTTATCCAGCAACAAAGCCCAAACTGGAACTAAATGGAAACCTGCCCCAGTTGCTCACCAACCCTTTTGCTTAGGTGTTGAAATCCTCAGCCCCGTGAAAGCCGCCCGGTTCTGAACACTGGCTAACCAACCAGTCGTTTCACTTCTTCCCCTCTTCAAATGCTATCAATTAACCCCCCCCCCACACACACACACGTGTGCGCGCGCGCTCTCTCTCTCTCACACACACACACACCGCCGCTTCTACGGCCCAATGTCTGGAAATTTATTTCCATAAAAAACTGTAAGAAGTTCTCAGATTTTTTGCCAGTGACAGCCATGCCCTGCAAGTCCCTCTTTTGCCCAGGAGCCACAAATTCAGCTTCCTGTTTTGGAAACTGAGCAGCAGTCTCTTCCGCAACTGCGGGAGCTCAGCCTCAATTTGCTGGTATCAACAGTTTGGATCTCCATCAAAGTCAAAACAACAGAGACAGTGGCCTCTGAGGGAGACTGCCACAGTTGGCAGCTGACAAAATAAACAGCAGCCAATTGCGGCGGAGGCTGGCCCTGGCCCAAAGAAGATTACTCTGCCTTTTGTCTTCTAGAGAATTATTTACCACAAGACACCTGGTAGATAAGATGTAAGCTATTGGGAAACAGGTTTTCCCAGACAATGTTAAGCCAGAGGCATTTGGGGCTGGGTTGTACCATCAGGTGTTCCCTAGGTTCATAGACCATTGATATTTTCAGCTGTGGCTGTGGATGGAGACCATGCTTAATCTACGGTGTCCAGACTGTGTTATCTTGCCTAGCACTCATCACAGTGGAGAGGGGTCTCTGGCAATAATGTATGTCTTTCAGCAAGTTTTAACCACATAATCTCTCTCCTGTATCTTGCCTGAGATTAAAGTTTCAGTACAGCGTACAGCTAGGGTGATAAAGGAAGTTCATCTGTTAAATCCGTAAACACACAGCAAATCAGGAAATGTGTCTCGGGTCCATGCTGTAGTCTGTCTTGCCCAATGATAATGGCCATGTTCTCACCACGACATAATCCTATTGTGTCTTGGTCACATGATGTTTATTCAAACTTGTCTGGGCTACTTTAGCTGCTGTGTTTCAGAATGAAATGTAAAGTATTGGGCCTTACTGTGAACATCTGAGTGTCTGCTCACAGAAGCACGCGGCTAAGACAGGAACTTGAGAGTTGGTAATGAGTACAGCCCAGAAGCCACACTAACCCGCCCTAAGGTCAGTCCCCTGCTACAGTTTCACCTTCACTGCCCATATGACCTTACATGCGCATCTTAACTTTCAAGTCCTCTATCCTGAAGGTGAATAACAAGTTTTGTGAGTAGCCCACAAACTTGCCAAACGTGGACCTAGGTTACGGTTGTAAAACTGCTTTGTTGGCTGCGTGTCTCAGTAACCACGCAGAACTCTGAATCTTTTCTAATTGCACAGTTATCCACAGATTCAAAGATCAAAAGTGGATAAGGATTTTTTCCTTTTTCCTTTCTTCCTTCTTCCTTCCTTCCGTTCTCTCTCTCTCTCTTTCTTTCTACTTTTTTCATTTTGTTTTGTTTTTTTCCAGACAGTGTTTCTCTTTGTAGCCTTGACTGTCCTAGAACTCGCTCAGTAGATCATGCTGGCCTCAAACTCAGAAATATGCCTGTCTCTGTCTACCCAGTGCTGGGATTCATGACGTGCGCCACCACCACACAGCTAACAATTTTGACAATTTTCTACATCAATCTTAACTTCCAGAAATAACCACAATTGATAATTTAGTGTTTATGCATTTTATGAGCATATGTGTGTTTGCAAATATGTCTACAAAATACAAAAGTCTATACTGCTAACCCAAAGCATTACACAGCAACTTTTTGTTGAGGAAAATTGTATACTGATGTGATGAGATTATATTGTGTAGAAGGAGTTGCAGTTTTGCACCCCAATAAACCACTTCACCAGCGCAATAATCCAAATCAGACCAATCAATCCGAATTAGAAAAAGCCCAGGTTTAATGGATGCCAGATCTCCCAGGTGGCCTTCTAGGCCCTCAAAGAGAAGATGGGGAAGGAAGACTGGGAAACCATGTGTTTGTTCTGGGGGTGGGGGGAGAGGAGCAGTTTAAATACCCTGTGGGAGTGGTCTTGAGCATCTCTGAGGAGCGGTCACCATTTGGCAGGCTTTCTCAGAGGTGGAGTCTGGACTGAGCAACTACAATGGGCAGGGGTCCGGGATGAAACTTTCCACCCAAACATTCCATACTTTTTGGATATATGGATGCCGGGGACTGAGGTGAAGCCTTAACCGAAACCTTCCAGACTCTTTGGATATAGGGGTGCCAGTGGCTGGGGTGACACTTCCAAACAAACACAGATCAGCATTTAAAAGGCTCCCCCTGGGAAGCACGTTACAAAGGAATGAGGTATTTTATCCCATAGTTTTCTTCCATTATAATGTTTTTATCCTAAATATATTTTCCGAAACTTTCTAAATTCTAGAAGAAAATGTGGAACACAGCCAAACAATGGAGAAAATGTAACAGGGATGAACACACAAATCAAATCTGAAAGCTGAAACAAAGGAGGAAAAGCGAAACTAGAAATGGCAGGATTTCAGAAACACATCTCTTAGGGAAGGGAACCGCCTGTTACATGTGACCCTCCACAGCAGGATATCCCTGATGACAAGTTCTGTTTAATGGACAAAAGGGCAAACCGATGCGGACACAGAACTTGCCAGGGGAGGAAAGAGGGCTAAATCTGATGAACGCTTAACTGGTTTATAGTTTAGAGATCCCACAGGTTTAAAAATACAGGAAGCAGCCATCAATTTGGGGGACAGGCAAAAACGATAAGCTAATGAAAGGCCAGTGTTTTTGAAAGATCTTCCAGTGTCAGGGAGCAGGATTCTGCCTGTAGCTGCTTTCACAGTGTTTCCTTCCTGCCCATCAACAATCCAGCCTGCCTATGGACAATGTGCACTTTCCCTGTTTTGATCACCAATAATACCACCAAGTTCAATCCTCTCAGTTTCTACTTGAGAGACAACTGGATTTGCCTCCACCACCTTTACTTTGGTGCACAGGTGAACACACATATGCACACACACACAAACACATGCACACACACAAACACACATGCATACACACAAATGCACGCATGCACGCACACATGCACACACGCCCACACACAAATACATGCACAAACACATACACACACGCACACACAAGGCACACATACACAAATGCACGCATGTGCACACACATGCACATACACACACACACTGAGGCATATATAAATATACATTAATAGGCTACAAACCAACTCTGAGTTCTATGATCCTGCAGGATTTGTCCCCTCTTTGACTTCCCAGGCATCTTTATGACCTCCGCAGTGCTAAATCCCTCCCACCTCAGCCGTCCACACATTGCCACCTGACTGAAAGTCTCTGCTCACCTGCTACTTTACACTTCAGCTTCTCACAGGTTCTCCCCAACCCCTAACTACCCTGCTCTAAACCAGATCATGGTTGTATTTTTTTAAAAAATTATTTGGATGACATGGCTTTCATCTTGCTTCCCTACTCTTTTGAAAATGTATGATGACTAGATGTGCGGGCAGGGGGGATTATAATACTACCCTGTCTCTCTTTGTAAAAAGTTTTATTTTTGTTTTATATGTATAGGGTTTTTTTGCCTGCATGCGTGTATGTACACCACAGTGGTACAAGGTCTAAAGAGGTCAGAAGGTGGCATCAGAGCCCTAGAACTGAAGTTACAGGTGGTTATGAGCCAATATATAGGTGCTGGGGACTGAAGCTAGGTCCCCTATAAGAGCTTCAGAAGCTCTTAAGCACTGAGTGGTCACTTCAGCCCTCAGCTTCTTTTTGGTGTGTGCAATTTAAATTCATCCTTGTGGATAGTTTTTGAAAGTTTCCTTTGACCTTAAAAATGCAGCACAGACTGGCAAATCTTTTTTTGTTTGTTTTATTTTGTTTTGTTTGAGATCTGGAATTTGGGGTGGCCTCAAATCCAAAAACCTGCTTACTTCTGCCTCCTGAGTGCTAGGGTTAAAGTTGTGTGCTACCACACTTAGTCTTTGACCTTAAAAGCAAAAAATATCACTGCCTACAATTTTCCTTTTCATGATTAATTTTCATACAGAAACCATATCCGAGTCATAAATTTCATAGTATTTGAGGTAAGCCTGACTAGAAAGTGTACTCTCCACTACAGCACAAGGCGAGCTATAATGTCACGAGTGTTAAAATACTAATACTTTGTCTTTGCAAACAACAACAAAATCACAGCCTTGAAATTAATGTCAGATAATGTAACAGAAAGATGTGTCCAATTGTTCCTTCACCAATGGCTCTTATTTGACACAAACCTAGAATAAAGATATAACACTTTAACCTAGGTTGTCATTTTGGGTAAATTATTTTCCTTCCGTTTTGTTTAACAATTAAAAGAAAAAAGGCTAAACATTTTTAAATGTTTAAATGTAAAAAAGGTTACAATTTCAGATCTAAAAGTCTCACAATTTGGAAGAAAGCAAGCAGTCATAAAACATGCTAATGTGTATTTTCTTGTATGAAGCAACAATTCAAAGTATTTTTTTTTTGTTGTTGTTGTTGTTCATTTGTAAGATCACATCCCATCAGTGTTGGCCATCCCAGAGGCATCTACAAAGCTAAGGACAGGGACCACGGTATCTCCTTCCTTAGAGCGGATACGGTCACTCATCTCCATCTCCTTTCTATTAACATACTTGTGCAGCAGGCTGTAGAACTGGTTCTTGGGATTAAAAGTGTACAGCGCCGAGATTTCCTCCCAGGCTTCACTGCTTGGGGTGTAGCAATCGTTCGGATTCGTGCATTCAAAGAAACACTTAACATTCTCGTTTGCCAACTGGGTCGCATGTTCTGTGGCTTTACTTTGAAGAATCTGCTCCTCCTTCTGAGAATATATTTCCCAGAATTTTAGGTGCAGATAACTAATTGGAGAACAGCATCGAATGATAGACGTCACAACCAGAAGTACGATGATGATGACCGCTATTAGAATCCAGCCTATCACCTACAGAAAACACAACAGGATGGCAACTTAGTCACCTTTGACATTAGAAAAATGAAAAAGCCCGGTATAAAATCTAAACTAGTCACTAGCTCCCAAGTCGGGTCTTAAGCTCTTTAGAATAACGAGTGTTAGTAAGAATCCGCGCCCCGCCCCCAGTACGTCAACACATCTACTGTCTTGAAAAGTCAACTAGAGTCCAAGTCATGTCAAGTGCCCAAGAGGAGATGACACGTCACTCTCCTAGAACTGAAAACACGGGGTTTCTGCGGATCCAGAGAAAGGAGCATCTGTTTTAAAGAGCCCCAGGCCTTCCTACTTCCATGGGTAGTGTGGGTGGTGGGTTTGGGCTTGGGAAGACGGGTTCTATTGTAAAAATGCTTCTAGTTTCTCCCGGATTGTGCAAATTCACCTGGCCTGAGTATTTGCTACCCAGTGGGAGAGGACACTAAAGAACAATGCAGAAGGTACCAGTCCAGGTGCGCTATTCTGGCCCCTACAGCGCCCGCTCCCGGATGAATGCCTCCTCTCCCTTTCCCTGTCATTTACATATTCACCTGAGACTGAGCCTTGAGCTGATTCAGGATGTCCTGCATCTCCTCCTCCTGTCCGTTGCAGGGAACCTTCGGTAGTTTGATAGCGCAGCTGCTGTCGAGGTTTCTGCACAGATACTTCGCCATGGACGCGCTCCCGCTGACAGCACACTGGTAGAAGGAGCCCCCTAGCAGCGCCACCGCCACCCAGGTGAGGGGCGCGAGTGCGGCGGCCAGGTTGATCTGCAAGCATGTCAATGCGCTGTGCGACCTGGAGCTGGAACTCGCGCTCCCGGAGCAGCAGCAGCCAGTGAGCAGGCGCCAGGTGCGCGTGTTCAGCGCGTAGCCCAAGAGAAAGAGTGCGAGCGCTGGCACCAACAGGAACACCAGGCCATAGGGCAGGTTCCAGGTCGCGTTGCACGGACACTGGAACACCACCTGGGAGAAGAGCTTCTCCCCACCCACCGTCAACAGGGTCACCAAACCGTAACCCAGGACGCTGTGGTACTTGTTCTGCAGTTCCAGCACTGCCTTGAACTTCTCCATGGATTCTGTTCACCCTGGACACCCCGCTGGGGCAAGAAGTTTCAGTTCTGCTCTGCGAGTCGGGAGGGTTGAGTGAACCGGGTCTGGGACTCTACACTCTGTTTTGAAGCAACTTTAGAAAGGGAAGAGGGCTTCTCAGACCTTTCCGGGTTTCACTTTCCTTTTCAACCAAAGTAGCTCTGGCATGCCCCCATGAATACGCCCCCAGATCCTTGACTTCCTGGCATCTCACTCCACATCCAAAGAATGAAGGGAGCAGAGGAAGCCCTGAGTGAGAGATGTGAATGACTGTATGTTGACATGGGCAGCCTGTTGAGGACTCCTAGACCAATTGATCTATGGTAAATTGGCAAAGCCATTACCCATACGGGTCAGGGTCAAGAGTATTGGCAAGGCTTTCCTTCGGAGTCTGAGTATGCGTGTTTATAAACAGTTGATCGGAGAGTGCAAGATTAGCAACTGCAGCTTTCTCCTGGAAGTTTACAGGCTGTGAATGCTGGCCTACAGAGGTGACTTTCCCGTCTAACCCCCCGCCCTAATATACAAGCTAAGGTTTGGGGAGACCCCCACCTGATCTCAGCTGCCTCACATGTCTGTCTCTGTGCCTGTCCTTTATTCATTTATCTCTCGGCCTCTAGCCAGCCTTCCAGGATCCAAGGTGCAAAGGACAGAGCAGAAGGCCCTGGTCACACTGTTCCGTCAGTTCTGGAACTCTACCAGATCAACTCTGTTTGCTCCAAACCAACATGACCTCTTACAATGTAGCCAACTATCAAAATAAGAAAGCTATTGAATTCCCTCCTATTGTTGCAATCCTCATTCTTAAGCTAACACCCAATTTCAAAAATCATGCCATTTACAGGAAGCAGAGGCACACTTATTCATTTTCCTTCAAAAGCTGAACAATAGCAAAACTGCAAATGAAATCAAGTTCTAATTCTTCAATATGATGCTCCCCCTCCAGTATAGGAGTGCTAGGTTAGTTTTTGCTGACCCCCCCACACTTTCTCTCTCCGATATCCCCAAAGGCTGAATGTACTGTTAATTAACTTTTTTATTATAATGGATATCTTTCACAGGTATGCCACAGCAGTGTCTGTACCTCCAGGGATGTCAAATGACTGCTTCATGACCACAGACCATCAGCACAGGGGAGGGTGTATGGCTACTCAAAAAACACCGAGAGACTGGAGTTGGTGGTGCTAATCACAGCACTGGGGAGGCAGAGGCAGGTAGATCTCTGTGAGTTCAAAGCCAGCCTGGTCTATAGAGGCAGGTGGATCTCTGTAAATTCAAAGCCAAGCTAGACTATATATGGACTTCCAGAGCAACCAGTGCTTCACAAAAACAAACAACAGCAACAATGAAAACCAAAACAGAACTCTAGTTAAAGACTAACCAGGAGTTAGGTGAAACCCTCCACATCTAGCATGTCCCATCTTCACTCTTCACATGACAGTTCTTCTGATAATAACTGTAATCAAGACTGTGGCACTGACCCTACTATTTCACAGCTCCCAAATGAACTGAAGGATACTAGAAAGAACACCACATTGAACTTGGGTGCTCAGTCTCTGTGTTACTACTCTCTAAAACTCAGCATCTTCAAAGATTATTGTGATAAGTTGACCAGCGTATGAGAAAACCGCATTTGGGCATGCGGCTGAAAGAGCCATCGATCTGACAGGTTACATTTTACCCTACATCTCTGAGAACATCCAACAATTACGGCCATTGCATCTTATTTAAAGCTCCGTGTGTGTGCTCAGTTATAGACCAAGGGATGTGTGCAGGCTCCTGATAACTATGCATTGCCCTAAATAATTCATGCGCTCCTTAGCTGACCACAAGGAAGGCGTCTATATAGAGTCTGAGTGGAGAACTCACAAAAATTTGGCTGCTCTTGGTACCCCTACTAGGCTGGCTTTGCTTCATTTGATAAGTATTAATAGCTAATACTAAAGGGAATTTTTGAAATAGGTCAGGAAACAGTCTTTCCTTAGTTCACTTGCCTTCCTAGCTACACAGACCCACTACCACCAGTGGCTCTAACATAGCACAGAAACTCAAGGGCAGTATAACAAGAAGCCTTTCTTTCCATATATGGTTAGAAGCAAGTCTAGACCAGGACTTTTACTGTCCAGTAGCCTCACTGGGGCTAGCGACTCTGAATGTTTGAGAGTCATCGAGCCAACGGTGATTCCTGTCTCCCTAGTCTGTCTTCTAAGACATCTCCCTTCCCGTGAATCCTGGCTAACTTTCTTCTCATTGCTAGGTGGGTCTTCATCTTTATCCCAATCACGTTTTGTTCTCATCCACATTGTCCACACTCCATCAAGAAAAAACCTGGCTGTGTTCACAATCTTCATTCTTTATTCAAGTTTTCCTTAATTGAAACCTAACGACCACAGTTTTCAAGTTTTTGACTGAAGCTTATTCTTACATTTCCACCATCCAAGTACTAACCAAGGCAAACCCAACACACCTTCTGAAATCAGACAAGATCCCCCACCCAACCGAATTTCTTATGCAGAGAAGGGTCAGCCTTTTCCTGGTTACTATCTATTAATGGCCAAACCTGAGATTTCCTACCACTCTGTAATGGTTTACCCTCCACCAAAGCTCAAAGCCACCCAGAATATCCCCTCTCCTACCTCAACTCTATGCTCTATTATATGTTCTCATTCTTTTGTTTATTCATCTTTAATGGAGGTGACAAGCAACTTTCTGTTCTCTGACACTTGTCATTCAAGGATCCAATTTCAGTTTTTCTTTCCCACATAAATCAGCCTGCTTCTTTCACCAACTAAATTAACTTATTAACTCATTAATTTGTTTGTCAGCCATTCATTAAAATGATTAATAAGCATCCAGGCTATGCTGGGTTCCTATAGGAAGTGGTTGATACTGTTAGATACAACACAAAATCGAAATGTCTCATGACATTCTGCTAATAGTAAAGCAGAATGAACACAGAAAATGTGGTTCTAAAGATAGTATGGAGGGAGAAAAAAATGGAATGACCAGAAGTGTTATGAAAGTCCTGCGAGGAGATAACCATTAATATACGCTCAATGGTCCTTGAATGCAAGGGAGCTTGGCTGTAAAGAAGACCAGAATAATGGACTGAATGTTAAAGTGAGAACTAAGGTGGTACATTTTGAGAACAAAGATGCAGGTGAAAGGGCAGGTTCAGGGCTTCATAGACCAGAGCATTCACTTGAACTTCTGTTCAGAAACAGCCTGAGTTATAACAATATAGTGTTGGGTCAGTCTCTGAACACCATTCCCACCCTGCCCCCACTTCTGCTCACCAGATTTGCTTCCTCTATATTCACACATCACGATCTCCCAGGCATTGATGATCATGCTAGACTCACAAAGTTCTACAGCTTTGGGGGGTTCTGGTTCTGCCAGAACTTTCTCCCAGAACACCTCTGGCTCTGTGAGTGGTTTTAATTCTGGGTCTTTTGAGTGTAATCCAGTCCTCTAGACCCAGCAGTATTCTAGAGACTACTGCTCAGAAATTAAACTAAGAGTGAAAGTAGACTCACATAAAATAGCATTATTTAAAAGGACTGTGGAAAATCTATGATCTGAACAGTCTTCTCAGAAACAAACAGAAGATTCTTGTATTCTTGTGTTCACACACCACAAAACCAATGGTAGTGTGTCTGACTTTCTTTGTGTATTTTGTTTTTCAACTTTCATGAGTAATATCAGGAATGAGTTTCAAATCACCGCCATTTCCGGGTAAAGAAAGCAACAGAAACTTAAAGAAAACCACAGACTATGAATCTGAAAGCTGTTTGCATCTGGCTTACAGGAAGTTGCTTCTCACTGTAGTCCACAGAGAGCTCAGGACACTCCCAAAAATGATTTCTGATACATTTGCTATGAAACCCCTAATGTTAAAGAGCTTGGGTTCATTTAATATGTATGAAAATATGGAACATATCTGAAGATTATTGCGATGGAGGTATAGTTCATCTACTTAAAGTGTATATGTCCACCTTTTACTATGCTCCCAAAATTGAACATTCCATCACCATCATCGACATAAAGCATTTTCATCACATAAAAGAGTTCAATGGCACTGGACAGTCATTGCCATTTCTCGCCTCTCTTGAACTTACCCTCCACATTCCCTGGGCCTCTTGACATGCATTTATCAATTTTCTTTCTCCATTGCCTATTATGAATGTTTTCCATCTTTCTGTCTTTAGCAGTTATGGTTTATCCAGCATCTCTCTATCATCCAACCCTCTGGGGTTCACTCTTTCTTCTTCTAAGGCATCAAAAGCAACAGAGTAAACCCATTTCTGCCTTGGTAACTTTGAGAATAAACTTCCTCTGCCTGGAATTTTCTCTCTATTGCTTCTTTCTCGTGCCTCAAGTGTCATATCCTCAAAAAGAGTCCTTCTGTGTTGGAAAGGTTAGACTATACAGTGTAACAACGACGACACTCAATCTTTGTGGCTTCATGCATCTATTTCTCATTTTTAAAACTTCAACTTTGTAGTCCCTGACTTCCACACAACCTTGAAATTTAGCATTTCTATTGCTTCCCCATGCTCTGAATTAGTAAAGGTTCCCCCAATATCCTGGTTTTCTTTGTCTGTCTTTTTTCAGTTTGACACAAGCAAGGGTTAACTGGGAAGAGAAACCATAATTGAGCAAGTGCCTCCATCAGATTGCTTGCAAACAAATCTGTAAAGCTGGGCAAGCCATGGGAGCAAAGGAGTGAGCAACACTCTCCATGGGCTCTGATTCAGTTCCTGCCTCCAGGTTCCTGCCTTAAGTTCCTGGTCTGACTTTTGTCAGTGAAACAGTATAACCTGAGAACTGTAGGGAGAATAAACCTTTCCCTTCCTGAGCTTGTTTTGCTGGTGGTGCTTTATCACACAGTAGAAACCCTAACGACATCCACAGAATGTAACCAATAGTATGGGCTGTCACTTAGCTGAGGACTTGGTTTCAAATATATTTTTGCTGCAATTAATTGTCAGCCCCTCCTCCAACTAAATTAATTAATTCATTAACCAATTCAATAATAGTATGAATATAAGCATATTAGATTGGCTTTCAGGCTCAGAGGCTGATTGATGCTACAATGGCGACTGCAGAGTGGTAAGGCAGGGAAACCAGGTGCTACTCAGTTAGAGAAGTCTGAAAGAGAGATGAAAAATGCATCCCAGTCTAGAGCCAAAGGCCTAAGAGTACCCACCTCCAAGGAGCTGTTGGTGCAAGCCTGTGTCCAAACTGAAGAAGGTAAAATCTGGTGTCCGCAGGTAGTGGTACACTATGAGAGAAAGTTTTCCCCAATACGAGTGTTGCAACTCTGAGGGGAAAGGCCTCCCCAGTGGAAGTGTTATAGCTCTGAGGAGAGAAGCTTTCTTCTATGTAAGTGGTCCATCTCTAAGGGGAAACTGGAGGAAGCCATGGTGTCATCCCTGGGGAAAGCACTTAAATGTTCTGCAAATGGAGCTCCTTAGATGGCAAGGCCCTTTGGAGAGTCCCATCCATTTGGCAAGGACCTGTGGCAACAATACTGCAGACCCCTGAGCTGATCCCTGGGAGCTCATGGACTTTAGGCCTCTCTACTTTTTACTATGCTTATTCTTATGGTGACTCTTAGTTTTGCTTTGTTAATCGTGACTGTGCCTGAGTTTATAGGGAACAAAAGCTTTTATAGAAAAATGAAATTTCTCTGATTTGCTACAAAAACTGGTCTTTCTGGTCACCCCTGACTGCCTTTGCAAACATCCTGAGTAAGCAAGAGGAGTTCACTAGGGTTAA